ACTAGATCAAACGGCTTGAAAAACTAGACACTAGAATAACATTCATAGATTACGTAATAAGTGTTCAGATAACTGGATAGCAAAGGGTGTGAAGAAATATACAAATGAAACAGGCATGGTGTATGGAAAATAATTATGATCAGTAAATAAATGAAATTGTTTATTTAGGCCAAGGGAGAGATAGAGTTGTCACTAATTTCTTGTGAACACAAAGACTTGGATTATTAGCTCGAGTACCCATAACTTCTACTGTGTATGAGATGGGATCGAACCGTTTTAAGGAAAACTAGTAGGTATACGACAAACTACTCTGAATGATTTATTTCTCTGTTCACCTGGTGAGTGCTACCAATCAAGTGTAATGAAACTGAGCGGCATAATGTTTTGATTAGGCCGTTTCATAACCATGAAGAGAGATGTTGCATGGTTGTACGCCAAGCATAACTTTCCCCACAGGAGCAGCTAAATTTCTAGATTACATATGGATGTGGCTATACCGTGTAACTTATCCTTGAGTTGAGAAATCATCGTACATTGGCTAAAAAATAACAGATAGACGTCAGATGCATTAAATATCCTCTGTGTTGCTTTGGTCAGTTTATTTCAAAGTACGTCATCAGCTCTAACTCTGTTGAATTGTAGCTTTAGCAAGAAATGTTCCCTTATTGACCGTAGATATCTTTCTTTTCCTGCTTATTGTATGCAGGTGTTTCTTCAAAAAACTTTGCGGATTATATCAATACATACGGACAACTATAGATATACATTCGATTGGAAGAATGTTGAAATAATAAAGCTAGTAAGTACATCGACATTGACCCAATTTATCAACCAATCAGAAAAATCTTAAGCAAACATAGAATGAAGAAACAGATCAAAGGGGTATACTGTCAAAACGAAGGTGCAGACAGAGACAAGTTTGAGGTCAATAACAACCAATCAAGTCAAATATGGAGCAATTTGAAAACTTTACTTCTCTCTGAAGTTTGTGCTGATGATGCTGTTCAGAAGAACAATGTAAGCTCCACAACCAAAACATCCAGTCCAGAGAATTAAACTCTATCACAAACATCCAATTAAGCTACAGATTTTCCCCACCATCTCATGAACTGCAGCTTATTGTTGATGGTTTCTTCTGAGCATATCTTCCTAGTTGTAGTCGTAAGACATGTAAACTAGGTCTCTTGTCTAGTATATAGATACGGAGTTCATGTAATTTGTATGCTGGTTAGATGAAGAACTTTTTCGATACATACTTCTGCTGACAGAACCATTTTACTTCTAATGTTTAACTCCGCTTGCCTCGTCAATCAATGTTTCGTAGTGTAGGAGTAGGTTGGAAGAAAGTTAGCGATGACCAAAGCAAAACATGGCGTGAATCTATCGTCACTGACAAGTGGACTAAGTCATGTTGATAGGTGTAGGCTACCTTGTTCGGGTCCGCGAGACAATAGTAACCGATATTTAGAGACTCCGAATGACATTGTTCAAAATCATCTGCAATCGCGCAGGTGCATTTATTCTTTGTGTTCTGTCAAATCCTAACCTTCGGAGTTCCTCATCACCTTTATCTTTTTCTTTTTAGGTTTATTTCACTCAGTTTGACTTCTTAAATAATGTCATCGAACTCTAATCTCTCTGATACTACTAATACTTCTACTACCTCTACTACTATGGGATTTGAGTTGAAAATTGTATCTCTGTGCTAATGTGGTATAGCAACCTGAAATGATGTACGTACGTACGTAAAAAGTTCTACTCTGTGAATTGAAAAAATTCACTTTTCATCAACAGATGAGGATGAATTTGTAAAGCCACCAACTCTCTTCTAAACACCCTGGGAACAAATTTCCTGAAAAATTGACCTGAACAACTGTTGTGATTAACGCCAAATTAAGGTGTATGTATACTGCTCCATATGAAAAGGTTAATTGATGGGTCACCTGACAAAATGATGTTTAAACCAATTTTCTTGATCAGTTGGTTTAAATTATTTTAACTAACAAGTTGGATTAAGGAGGTGCTGAAATTTTTTTCAAACTGAAAATAATTTTTAGTATGACATACTATTCACAGCAAAAAGATCCAAGCTGATAACAATATCTGTCGGTTTATGATTTATTTTTACGTATTTGAAATCATCAATCAGTCATTGTTAGACCACCATTAGAAACCTGAAAGCACTGGACGGCCGTTTCGCCCTGGTATGGGATTCATCAACAGTGCACATCCACGACTCCCGCACCTCGCAGGATTCGGACCCGGGACCTTCGGTATTGTGAGCAAACGCCTAACCATCGGACCACTGGGCCGGCATCCAACGGTGTTAATTAATGTCTAACTCTGATTGATTTAGGGATTTTTCGCGACCTCACCCATTTGTTTTTGGTAGTTACTGACTACTTCCGACAGGGTTGAACTCCATTGGTCACGTCTTCGCAACTAGAACTCCGAGAATTTCCTCACGAAGCTAATCACTAGTGAGCACTGTTACGATATTTTGGGGGACAGTTTTGGAGGTTTGTGTTTTTACACATTTGAAATCATCAATCAATTATTGTTAGACCACCATTAGAAACCTGAAAGCACTGGACGGTCGTTTCGTCCTGGTATGGGATTCATCAACAGTGCACATCTACGACGAAACGGCCGTCCAGTACTTCCAGGTTTCTAATGGTGGTCTAACAATGATTGGTTGGTGATTTCAAATGTGTAAAAACACAAACCTCCAAAACTCTGCCCGGAAATATGATTTATTTCTTCGGTGGTAGATGACCTATTCAATTTCTGTCCTAAAAATAACCCTAGAAAGCTGATAATACTTTTTACGGATATTCACCGGGAACGTTTACTTGAAATCTTGAGGAAACCCGAATGGTCTCTGAGCTTTTAAACTAACATCCGCGATGAGATCAGTGAAGTGATCAGCTGACAATCTCAATCTTAAAAAAATTGAATTGCTTAATCAAAATTACCTTGAATCTTAGTGTCTCGTATATTTTTCTCTCTTTATTCCTTTCTTTAAAAAAACATTCAGGAACATCAGAAATGGTGTGAAACACATAAGCAAAGTATGAGACCAATTACTCAATTGGAAAATGTCCACAAAGAGGTCCAAATGAAACTTGACGAGTATCGTCGTAATTATCGATTAAATAATATCAAAGTAAGATTTATTTGTTGATCATTGGTTAGCTAATATTTTTATTCACATAAAATAAAGTCTGCCCACTTTAATTGACAAAGAATATTTTCAAGTCATAGTGTGGTGTGATCTACTTATAAGTAGTATATGACGTGAGTGTCAACGTAATGTCTGGCAGCAGAAGATGAGGGAAGATCAAGAAAGGAAGAGTTAGAAAACAATGGAATTTGTATGAAACACATGAATAGTGACAATGGATTGATGTTTTGCAACAGGAACAGTCCAATTCGATATGATGAACTGATATTTTGCAAATTAACGATTTACGATATGGTTTTCCGATTTTACTGAGTAACTCTGTAATTTTCGTTAAATACAATTCGGTTGCCCCACTTGTGTTCTCGTTCACTACAATAGTACAACAGTAGTCAAGCAATAAATGACTATGTACAATATAGTAATGAAATGTCAATCAATGTTCTTACATTCATAGTTAAACACAAGAGCTTGAAATTTAGGTTTCTTGGTTTGTCAATACTTGCTTAAAGAATATACTGTCAAAGTTAAGATAATTTATAGATTTCATTGGAACTTTGAACAGGTACAGCTTTTCTAAATGTTGTTACTTTGAACTATTTCGTCAACAATGTAAGATTACAAAGAAGCACATTGTATTCCACTGGCTATAATGACCAATTAGAACCAGTAATCAAAGGCGTTTATAGTTTGAGTAAACTGTTGGGGATGTCAGATCCCCAAAACTCGCTTGTTAAATGCCTGATTTTGGATTCTACGTTTGCCAGCATGGGCTGATCAGTTGACCTTGAGATTTCGATTCCCACCAGGAAAATCCATGGCTGTGATTGGCTGCTGTGTATTTTAGTGTGCTATTTTCTTAACTGTCCCAAGGACGTTTCTATGATGTATAAATAAACGAGAGTTGTATGCTTGATTGTACTGTGATTGCTGGGTGTTTGTAGAATATACTTTCTACGCTTACAAAGCCTTCTTACTTTATTTGGGGATTCAAGGTAGCCTACCTGGACGCTGGTAAAAGTCTCGTTCGCGTTTATCGACTAAGGTAAACTCGTAATAGCCTCAAGCATACTTCGTGACGAACCCAATTTAAACCATCACTCATTTTTATGAAAATAAATGATGCATGTTTTGATCTGTGCCAAGAGCTTCTGAGATTCTAGATCTTGAATAATTGGAGTTCGAGAAGTAGATAGATTTTAGAAAAAAAACGCAATCTCCACTGCATCACATGACGTTTACAATATTATGTAACAATCAGTCAGTACTATTTGAATCTCCTACATAATGCACACCAGCAGAAACCGTTTATTTGATAGATTAAATGTGATAAATCTTTTTGAGAAGACGGCGTTAGAAAATCATATTCACTGTCTGTACAGATATAACTAATTTTTTTCACGTTATCATACATATATTTCAATAAGTGGAACTGTCAGGGACGTTAGATCCCCAGAACTCACTTGATAAAGGTTTTAATTTCTCGCATAGGCTGATCAGATGTCCTTGAGATTACATTTCTTAACTGGAAAATCCTTGACTGTTATTGGTTGATGCATTATTTTAGTATGCTGTTTTTGTGGATCTCCCAATGACGTTTCTATGATGTATAAACTCGATTTATGTGCTTGTGGACCTCGTACTCTCTGGGTGATTGTAGAATACACTTTCTACTTCTTGTCAAGACTTCTTCCTCTACTTAGTGGGGCCTTGGAACGCCTGTCGAGTTACTGGATCATTTGTCTTTGCTCTCATTTACCGACTAAGGTGAACTCATAATACTTCAAGAATATCAACTAGTAGCAAGCGTATCAGGAAGAGTGATTTTTTTTATTAAAATAATGGACTTTTTGGACATAATCGGTACTTGTCTTACACTAAAATCATGAGTCAGTGGTTTATAGATGACCATTAGAAACATGGAAGCACTAGATAGTCATTTCACCTCAATATGGAACTCATCGACACCCACGCTTCTAGCTACTCACAGGATTCGAACCCGGAACCGTCGGTCTTGCGCCTAAATGCTTCAATTTGTCCACTGAGCCAGTATTAGACCACTGTTAGAGATCTTGATCGACATGGCTCAAAGTCGTTTGCTATGGCGCAGGTGCATTCATTCTTCAAGCTCTCTCAAATCCTAATGTTCTGAATTCTTCATCATCTTTATCTTTCTCTTTTAGAACTTATTTTATTGGACTATACTTCTTGAATAAAATCTTTGAACCTTAATTTTCTCCATCACTGCTAATAACTTGTACGACCTCTACTACTATGTGATTTGACTTGACAATTGCGTCTCTGTGCGAATTCGGTATGGCAGCTTGAAATGATGTATGTACGTACGAAGTTCTACGTTTTAGCTGACTGACTGATTATCGCTACACAGATTCGAAGCCAGTGTAATTCACTTTGATCAGACCAGTGTTTACCATAACTAACACTTAAATGAAGTAGTTTCGATTGACGCCCAATAACACCAAAAAAGTTTACTTAAACAGTCAGATTCACCATAAAATTAAAAACAACAAAAACGTTCTGTCATTTAAATCAGTTTGAATAAAGCTTGACTTATATTTTCTTCTTACTTCTTATTAACACATATTGTTAATTAAATTAAACAAGAAAATGGCTGACAAGGTGAAATTTATAAAATAAAAATGTATCAGTACTATCTAGATTTAATACTTGTCCAATTTTTCATTATGGAGTTATGGAGATCGTTGTTTTACATGGAAATCGTGAATCAATCATTGTTAGACCACCATTAGAAACTGGGAAACACTGGACGGCCGTTTTATCCTGGTGTAGGATTCATTAGCACTGAGCATCCACGAATACTGCTACACACAGAAATCAAACCCTTCGGTCTCATAGGCTAACGCTTAATCTCTGGACCACTGGGCCGGCATTGTGGATGAGCACTGATGATGAGTCCCACACCAGAATAAAACGGCCGTCCAGGGCTTGTGGGTTTCTATAGGTGATCTAACGATGATTGATTCATGATTTCAATGCAAAACAACGATCTCCATGTTTCTATAATGGAAAATCATGAAATGTGCTCACTGATGACTGGCTTCGTGAGGAAATTCTCGGAGTGCTAGTAAGAAGCTATGATCAGCGGAATTTAACCCTGTCGGCAGTATTTGGTAACTACCGAAGACAGTGGGAAGGGTTAGGCGAAATCCTTAGATTGATCAAAACATTAACACCGTTGGATGCCACTAGCTCCCTGAGAGTAGCAGGAGTAGTGGATGCGCAATGTTGACGAGTCACATACTAGGACGAAACGGCCTTTCAGTGCCTGTGGGTTTCTAATAGTGGTCTAACAATAATTGAATCACGGCTTGTTTAATTATTCGAATTTGTTTTTTTTTAAATAAATAAATTGGGATTCTTGTAATAATACCATTAATTTCCATCGTAAATTGACTTGAACAAGACCATCATTGAAAATATAGAGAGCATTAGACAGTTATTCAGTCCTAGTTTGAAATCACTCAGCAGTGAATCCTTATCGTCAAACAAACCTAGAAATTTCAGAACATCTTAAGGAGTGTGTTACCTTGTTATGCTCGTCACTTTATATGCTTAAAACTATTATGGGTTGACCTTAGTCGATAAACGAAAACGAGACAATGAACCAGTGACACGTTATGGTATTCTGATCGGTTGCCCCGAAGGAACTAACGAAAAAGTCTTGATATGGCGTAGAAAGTGTATCCTACAAACACCTAGCAATTACAGTGATCTCAGTCACATAAGTCGCGATTATTTATACATCATAGAGACGTCCTAGGGAGAGTCACAAAAATAGAGTACTAAAATAACAAATCAGTCAATCACAGCCAAGGAATTTCCTGGTGCGAAATGAAATCTCAAGGTCAACTGACCAGCCCATGAATAAAATACAAAATTAAGACATTTATCAAGCGAGTTCTGGGGATCTAACGTCCCCAACATACAGTTCAATGGTTCACATTTACAACTTCAGCTTATTCTTAAGTTATTGTTACAAATTCGTAGCATTCTTTATAAATTTCGAGCGGAATGATTAATATATTCATTTAAAAACTAATACACTAGAACTTTGAATAGTATTGTTTTATTATCAAACCGGAAATGTAACCATCTATCAGTCTAACGAATCTCAGACAGAATAAAACATTAATTAAATTACACTTTTGTACCATTTATAATCGAAATCAATCAATCATCCGACTTACAATTCTTGGACTGTTAGTTAATTGATTGTTGTCTCTCTTTCATTGACCGACTTTGTGAATAAATTACAGTGTATTTTTTGTGAACATTATTTGTAAAACTTTCGCGACACCTGTCATCATGAACCGACCGTAGCTGCTACCTTGACGTGGTGGTCGGGCTTGACTATCGTGATGACCCAGCTGAGCTATATTGGCTGGAACATATGTTCCTGCAAGTTCTACCATGCCAGGCAGGTCGATTGGAGAACGATGAGACTAAAAGCAGCTACTCAAGGTCCGAGGGCGAAGTCGTACTACTGACTGCAGAGAGGTGTGACAGGGGTAAGGAGTTTCCCTTGGACAACCAGCATCTGCAGCGATGCTGCCTTCTCACAAGGAAGGAAGGGTTAGAAAAGGTCGGCCCTAAAAATGTCATACCTCACCCTACCTCACGGATTTTCGTCTCCGTCGGTAAGGGTGCCTACTAAGGGCCGTTGAGAGCGGAGCTAATACAATAAAAACCCTTTCATAAAAAGGCCGTGCGTGACCGGCCTCAAGCAGTTGTCCCTTGGACTCTGCGGTCATGCACCCAGGTCTCTAAGATCAACGCTAATATACCTTCCTTTTCAGGCCCCTCAAGAAACAACCTTCCACGGTGTGGGCAGCCGGGAAGTGACAACCGCCCTCATACCACCAGTAACAGCACACGAGACCAAATTGGTCAAAATCAAATCCTTCCTACACCCCCTAGTACCTCTCTTATCTCCACGACTAACTCTTCTCACATTCCTTTATCACACTGCACAGCTAATGCAAACGATGCGAGTTCACGGAACGTCATTCCTGGTCTCCTGAAACCCCTGTTACGTATGGCTAACCACCGACTTCCTCAATGAGCTATGTTTTGCAGTGTAGGAGTTGATTGGAAGAAAGCTAGGGGGGGCCAAACCAAAACATGGCACAAATCCATGAAGTCACTGACAAGTGGGCTGAGTCATGTTGGTAGATGTAGGCTGGGGTTGGGGTCGGCGAGACCAAAGTCACCGATGGATAGAGACCTTGAACGACATGTTCAAAATCGTTTGCAGTGGCGCAGGTGAATCCACTCTTTGTGTTCTATGAAATTCTAAGCTTCTGCATTCCTCATAATCTCTATCTTTCTCCTTCTAAATTTATCTCACTGAATTATACTCCTTGAATCATATCTTCGCTCCCGAATCTTCTCCACTACCTCCTTATACTTCTACTATCTCTATCACTCTTGGATTTGAACTGACAGTTGCGTCTCTGTGCTGATGTGGTATGGCAACGTGAAGTGATGTACTTACGTACGAAGTTCTGCGTTGTATCTGTCTGTTATCATCAACTGAATTACAATAAAGAACCCAGTGAGTAGTACTTACAAGTACACGAAATTTTCGTGTTATCCTACATAATCGAAGTATATTTTGATATCTTTTTCCAAACGTATTTATGTATTATACTGTTAATTCTTCTAACCTATTTTACTTACTTACTTACATGCAAAGACTCAAGCTAGACAAGTGACATTAACACGAATGAAAATCGATGCCGACTTATTATTGAATGAATTCACTGAGGAAGATAACCACCAATTCCGAAACGAAGCACAATTCAAGAAGACAACAAAACTCAATGAACTAGTTGATAAACATATTGAAAAAAGCCCAGATCTAACTAATGCATTTAGTCAATTCACATGTCGTGTTCAACCATTAGCACGTTTAGCTCAAATGCAACATCATGATCGAATGGCTCGAATGAATTTAAACAAATCATGGTGGAATATATTCATGGATGAATGGAAAAAGAAACAACATGATTATATTCAATCGCATGATAAAAATCTCTTGAATGCAATCCATCCTGATGATGTCATCAATGACAATGATTTATCATGGTTGCCTGATCGATTTATTGAAGAATTAGAAGAAAGGGATATTTTTCAACAATGAAAAAGAGATGTTTCTCACTCTATGTGTTTAATATAACACTTTCCTGCGTGTTTTCTTTTTAGGTAAAGCATATACAAACATATAAATTAGATTTATCAAAGAATTATTGTTAATTTTTTGCAACGAAATCTATGAATTTTGAAGCATTGAGTTCAAATAGGTTTGACTTTTAAAATTTTGAATATACTATCCCGGTGATTTGTGCTTTCATGTGATTGAGTGGAACTTTTATTATTTGATATTATGTCAAAAATGTTTTGTTCATGGTCTTCAAACAGTAACTGTTGTTGAACGAATCGATGTAGATAAATGATTTACAATTTATAATTTATATTATTATGTATGACAACGATGAGAGCATAATCATTGATTGGTTTAATGTGACTTCTATTTTCAATTTTTCATTATTTCACATTTTCTGGTAAGGTTTTCTAAAATCTAAACATTTTAGACCGATCATAGGTGTCTCTGAAGCATTGCTTGTGTATCATGGGACAACCGAGTAAGCAATGCTGTTAGTGCGCACAACCACTGACTGCCCCGTCGAGCTATATTTTGTGGTGTAGGAATAGGTTGCACGAAAGCTAGGGGCAGCCAAATCAAAACATGGCAGAAATCCATGAAGTTATTGACAAGTGGACTGAGTGATGTCGTTATGTGTCGACTACCTGGTTGAGGTCCGCGAGATGTTAGTAATCAATGGTTAGAGACCTTGAATTATATGGTTCAAAATCGTTTGCAGTGGCTCCGGTGCATTCATTCTTTGTATTCTCTCAAATCCTAACCTTCTGAATTCCTCATCAATTTATCTTTTTAAGTCTATTTCACTAGATTCTACTTCTTGAATAATATCTTCTAATCCTAACCTCTCCGACTACTGCTAATACCTTTACTACGATTGGATTTGAATTTAGAATTCCATCTCTTTTTTTGTGCTAATGCGGTATGGCAACTTGCACTGATGTACGTACGTACGTAGTTTTACGTTGCTGCTGATTGACTTTCTGAAATCTATTAAATTTAGTCTATGTTGAATCGCATTCAGTGGTTTATTTCGATATTGTCATAGCTCAAACATCAGTACAAGTGTATTCAGCTGAATTTCACCGCTAACCACAATTTGAAAATAAACAGAGTACAAGCGCTCACTTGCCCAGCCAATTATTGAACACTATCTATCTATGGTATAACGCGTATCCACAACTAATGTTCAGTTTGATTTGATTTCGATTCGATTTTTAAAAAAAAAACATTTTGTCTAACAATGGAAATAATTTTCATCAGAAACTCATTCCACTTGAAGAACTATTCAACAAAACCATTGAATATTGAACAGATGTTTTAGTTTTTCAACGACTTTTTAACGTGTATGCACTCAATAATCCCAAATAAGATCTAATAAGTGATCGTCGAATCTTTTGATAAACAAGATAATTTCACAAGTCTGAGTTGTATAATAATACTGTAGTAACAAGACAAGTCCAGGTGGAATAAGTGTACTTGATAAAAACACAGATTGTTTATGAAATATGTACACCTAGCCTATTAGCATCTATTGGCAGTCCTGCTATTCAAGCCTAATACAGACTTTCTATTCTCAATCCAAACCTGGTCTTCAAATATTAGCATTACACTATGCACTTTGACTTCTTAACACTTGTTTTCGGCTAACGACTGAGATGAAGAATAGGTTGGATGAAAGCTAGGGGCGGCCAGACCAAAACATGGCGGAAATCCATGAAGTCACTGTCAAGTCATGTCGGTAGGTGTCGACTACCTGGTTTTGGTCCACGAGATGTTAGTAATCGATGGTTAGAGACCCTAAATGACATGGCTCAAAACCGTTTGCGATGGCGCCGGTGCATTTATTCTTTACATTCTCTATTATCCTAAACTTTTTAAGTCTTCATCACTGTATCTTTATCTTTTTAAGTCTATTTCACTAGATTCTACTTCTTGAATAATATTTTCTAATCGTAACCTCTCCGATTGCTTCTAATACCTTTACTACCTCTACTACTATTGGATTTGAATTGACAATTACATTTCTGTGCTAACGTGGTATGGCAACTTGAACTGATGTACGTACGTACGAAGTTCTACGTTTCTATTGATTGGTTGATTGTTTGATCATAAAAATCTCCACATGATGTCCCGCTGCACACTACTACTTATAAGCCATCTTGTGAATAGTATCTGCAACAATACTAGTCGTTGTATATTGATTAACAAACTAGCATGAAAACAGTTGTTCATTTTCGCTCCATTATTGCAATAATATATAATAAGCATGTAGTTTGCCTAAAACCTGACTATTTTCCGAGTTATTAATATGAATAATATAGAATTGTAAAGCACGATGAGAATCTATTGAAAAGAATATTCTTTGTATATGTACATTACTGTTTTAATATGTTAGATATAGTCGAAGTTCGAAGGCGTTCATTCAGAAAAGTTATGACGTCACATGGTGAAAGCCGTGTTACTTCGGAAGTCATGAGGCCGATGACCTTTCTGACAACCAGATCAACCATTCTTTTAGGTACATGGAATGTTCGAACAATGTGAGAGACTGGAAGACTGTTCCGAATTGCTGTAGAGATGAAAAGATACAACCTGGAGGTGCTCGGCATCAGTGAAACACATTGGACGCAGGTAGAACAACTGAGACCAGCTTCAGGGGAACTGCTCTTATACTCTAGTCATGAAGAGGAAAATGCTTCACATACACCAGGAGTTGCACTGATGCTGTCCAAACAAGCACATAAGGCACTGATAGGATGGGAACCTCATGGACCGAGGATCATTAAAGCATCCTTCAAAACAAAAAAAGAGGACATTACAATGAACGTCATCCAATGCTATGCACCTACCAATGACTACAATGAGGACGTTAAAGATCAATTTTACGAAAGGCTGCAGTCAATCGTTAAGAGATGCTCACCAAAGGATTTGACCATTCTGATGGGAGACCTAAATGCTAAGGCTGACATGGACAACACTGGATATGAAGACATCATGGAACGACATAAACTGGGAGAAAGGAACGAAAATAGTGAGATAGAACACATTACGAAAAGCACCCAACTGCGTAGCAAGACAGGCCATCACTTCGAACTCTCAAGGAAAAAAGAAACGAGGAAGGCCAAGGAACACATTACGCTGATAAATGGAGACAGACATCAGGAGAATGAACAAAAACTGGACAGAACTTGAAAGGGAGTCCCGTCACAGAGTAGTTTGGAGAAAACTGGTGGGCGGCCTATGCTTCATTGGGGGTAACGGGCGTAAGTAAGTAAGTAAGACATGAACAGAAGAAAGTTTATAATCTTGATTCCATGATACCAAGTCCGATCTGTTATCTTGGAGATAATGATAGTCTCTGTGAAATCCATTTCATCCTGTACTAGTCAATATCATTGAGTTACTGGAATCACAAGCGACATCCTATAGAATAAAACTGACACTTTCTACAAGAAACAAAGATTTGTACGACGTAAGGAAGAAAGTATAGAGTACAATAAATGATGATTTATTATGTAACAAAAGTAGAAAAACTAAGTCGGAATATACTCAAATTTACATATTTCAGTTATAATGATCAGCAGTCAGATTTGAATAAATTCCAACTTGACAATAATTAAAGAATCGTCCATATAGGGTTGTAGAGATTGTTGAGTTTCATTGAAGTCATGAACTGATCTTAGTTAGACCACTATTGGAAACCTAGCAGCAATAGACGACCACTTCTTCCTACTATGGGATTAGTCGGCAGTGATAAGTTAGACTATCGATTTGAAACCTTTGGATAAACAGCTTAGTCTCAATACATACGTATATTGATAATCTTTGTAAAAATTTCAATTTTTCAATGACAACTACTCATCATTTACTACGATTGTAAGTAGGCTTCTGATGAGAACTGACCACATAAAAACAAATTCATAATATTCTTTATCAGTTATTAGTTTTGCTTTATTCAGATTTATAAAGAGAACAATTAAGTGTATGAACTTGTATAATGATTTCAATTTTATCAATAATACAATAAGAATTTGACATAAATAACAATTTCTCAGTATACCGTTATGGAGATCGTTATTGATTACTGAAATCATGAATCGATCAATTTTAGACCAGTCAGTCAGTTGCAACGTAGAACTTCGTACGTAAGTACATCAGTTCATGTCGCCATACCACATAAACACAGAGATATAATTGTCAATTCAAATCCAATAGTAGAAGAGGTAGTAAAGGTATTAGAAGTAATCGGAGAGGTTAGAATTAGAAGATATTATTCACGAAGTATGATTCAATGAGATAAGTTTAGAAAGTCAAAACTAGGGGTGTTGAAGAACCCAGAAGATTAGGATTTGAGAGAACACAAAGAATAAATGCACCGGCGCCATTGCGAACGATTTTGAGCCATGTCATTCAAGGTCTCTAGACCACCATTAGAAACCCACAAGCACTGGGAGGCCGTTCCGCAGCAATGCGCCTCCTGTTGCCCCCAGGACTCGAACTCGGGACCTTCAGCCTCGCGTACGAACGCTTAACCTCTAGACCATTGAGCCGGCAGCATGCAACAGTTTTAATATCTAACTTTACTCAAACCCTAATATCGCGCAACCTCATCCATTGTCTTTGTTGGGTAACTAACTGCCAAGACCCGACAAGAATGTACACCACTGGTCATGCTTTTTCACTAAAACTTAAGAAACCTCCTCACGAATGATATGGCTCAAGCTCGTTTGCAGTGGCTCAGTGCATTCGCTCATTGTCTTCTCTTAAATTCTAATCTTCTAAATTCCACATGACCGTTGTTTTTCTCTCCATATGCGCACTGCTGACGAGTCCTATAGCAGGACGAAACAGCCGTCCATTGCTTCCAGGTTTTTAATGGGAGTCTAACAATAATCGATCCATGATTTCAGTAATATATAACAATCACTAACATACAATGTTTTATCTTTGATTAGTTTCTGTTTAGCTGTCTATCACAAATTATTTGTTATAATGCAGAAAATGTCATGCGTAAGTTCGGTAATGAAGGCTTACTCCATCAATAAGAGTTCGAAAAATAAAACGACGAAATGAAAATAGTCAATCAGATAAAACAGAACAAACAAACAAGTCAGCCATTACTGACCACTGATCATAATATAAATATATTCATGAAGGATTTTTAGATTAATTGTCGAAAACTAATAATTCCATCAATAATATTGAGCAAAGAGTTAGTAGAATAAACCTGTTAGATAAAGATCTTATCAGTGCTATTTTAGATAAACTTTTGAAAGATCCTTCCAACAATAAGGCTATGGTATGAGTACTGATGATACAAATAGGCTGAGCTGATATAGCTTTTAATGTTATTGATTTACTAAGTCGGTTACACAGTACAACTTGGTACGTACGTCCATCAGTTCAAGTTGCCATAAAATATTAGCAGAAAGATGCGATTGTCACTTCAAATCCCATGGTTTTAGAGGTAGTAGAAATATAAGCATTGAAGGAGGAGATTAAGGTTCGAAGATATCATTTAGAAAGTTTAATTGGGTGAAATAAATTTAAAGAGAAAGATAGAGGTGATGAAAAATCCAGAAGATTAGGATTTAAGAGAAGCCAAAGAATGCATGCACCTGAGCCATCGTAAACAGTTTTGAGCCACGTTGTTCAAGGTCTGTAACCATCGGTTACTATCGTCTGACGGACTCCAACCAGGTAGTCTACACTTACCAACATGACTAAGTTCAGTTTTGTTACCCCTAGCCTTCTTCCAACCTACCCCTAAATAACAAAACTTCGCTCACTGAGGAAGTCGGTGGCTGGGCAAACGTAACACCTGTCCCAAACACCTCAAATGATGAAGTTTCACTACCTTATCTATCGATCTGCCATCCTCACCTAGAACTGGTTACCTAATAACAGTATTGTTCACTCGATAGTTCCAAGATAAACGAAGAGTGTTTCGGAGACACGTGTGATCGAAAACCAGTAACCTACGAATATCTTCTAATCTTACTGACCCTGTTTCACAGCCGCAAAACAGGGCGGAGCGAACTGCTACACAGCACAGTCGTTTTCTGATTAACTGACGGATATCTCGCTTAGGCGATATGTGACGCAAGTTGGCAAAAGCCAATCGAACCTATTCATTTACTAAGTACACATTTATATACTACGACTTGGATTGTACTTTAAATGTGAGAATTGGTGACGTCACCTGAGTATTCAGGTCGTAAAAGAAGCGGGATTCAGAATTGCGACCCAATGATTCTAAGCTGAATGGTCCAAAATCTTTTGCCGTTGTTTTCCAATTATGTCTTGTGACCAATATTACGTGTCTCTAATTTAGCTTTGGAGCGACAGCAAGGTCCCTACTGGTCTATCATTTGCCAGCTCCTTTCCATGCCCAATCTTGAGTCCAAAAGTCAGTAAGTCAGCCTCCTCTATTTTTATATTTTAAACAGACGTGGTGTATGTGCAGACATACTACTACATACCTGATGGCGCATTACTTCACAAGATTTAATCGTAATAACTAGCTTTGCACTCCACCCATCTCAAGTGAAAGATTATTCTTTAAACCCCACAAGTAGATCAAAAATCTCAAAATAACCCCCACCCGTATTCAGATCTTGTCATGGGTCAATCCACTTAATCAAATATATCGCGTAAAAGTGAAACGCAAAACTATTGAAGCAGGTTGGGCGAATCTCCAAGTATTATCCTGCAACTAGCGGGTAAGAACTTTTTTATGATTACACCTACGAAGTTTGGACGACTGCACAGTGACTGTGGTTAACAGCATCCATGTATTCACAGTATTATCTCGTAAAGGGTTCAGTACAAGTAAGAGGAGGCCGGAACGATACTGAGGTTCAAGAGTCCTGATAAAAAAGAGTTTTACCTACGTTCTTTCTTGGAAAGATCTTACCACAAAATGCCTTAGTACGGCCGAAAGCGGAGATAGTTAGCTGTCACGCTCTAACTGCTCATACATGGCCATGTGTGTATTGCTAGTAACAGGGGAGTCCTACTCACCGCCTTTTTGTTGCACAGGTGTTGTTTACGAAATCGAGAGGAAGAAAAGCGAATGTCCGACCGGGGCTTACACCAGGATAGTGAGTACGGAGTATCTACCTACAGGAGTCGGGAAACGTTAATTCCGAACCTACGATGCACATAAGCTTCATGATCGTGAACAAATGGCGTAGGAACCTTTCGCTGGTGACCGGCTACTACAGGACTGCATCTCCAGATTTTGCTCCAGTGTCTTGAAGATTTGAAGTGCATTTCAAAGGCTTAGAGAGTGGCCTCATATAAAGTCACCAGCCGAAGCAGATGAAAAGTATCCCGGGACACACACAAGCCAAATAATTTGTCTGAAATCCATACATTTCGGTGTTTCTGTATACCAGTGCTTATGCATTTAAATAAACATATAGGGATTTCTGAACCTCCCCAAAACCCGATAAACAAATCGTTATACGAATTCGTATGATCAACTACAAGGTTTTTACCAACATGACAAAAACAGATTTGAGTAGTACAGTAAGCTTAACAAGTGATCCCAGCAATGAAATAAACTGATATAAATCTGATCCATTGATTGTCAAACTTCTTGTTTAAATCAAGGTATGTGGTAACAGTTAAAGAAACAGGTATTTCTGAATCTTAATCTGGAATGCGATCCGATATGTAAACTTCCAACAAGATCTGAAATCCGCTAGGTTCTTATGTTCAAAAGCTAGATTAGTTTGTCAGGTTTTCAAAAATAAGGGATTTTCAAGATTGCTATGCACAAAACCAAAAAATTCCATAACATATCACAACAAGTATTTTGAAATTACGCAATAAGCTTAGTTTCTCACTGGTTAGTGAACAGTAATAGGAGTCATAACATATTCTATGGCGTCGAAATGATTTTATAAGATAAATTTCGAAGTGTAACCAGTAAAATGACAATTTTATACATTTCTTATTCTTGTCTGAGCTTTGACTGAATGAATGCAATTAATTGTAATTAAATAACCAATGTCTTTTTGAAACAATTAAGCAGTATTCAGCAACCGTACAACAAGATTTTGTCAATCTTGCACTATTTCTGTGAAGACTGCTTTCAACAACCCAACTAATAGTTTGTGAAAACTTAACGCAAATGCACTGATAAGGAATATTATCGATTAGCAATCATATTATGTAACCCAGACACAAAATTGCATATAAAACATTTAGTGATTAGATATGCATTTTTTATAGAAATAAAATCACAGTTTCTTCAACAATAATTGTAAAGGTAATTAAATAAATCGGAGAATAAACCAACACATGAGGAAAATGATGCACACGAATACAATTAAATAACAGCATAATCCAGAAGACATATTTTGTTTAGCCATACGGGATAACCGAGACATTGTAGTGCGAAGAACACCTTCTGACCGGTCAAACGTTCCAGCCATATCTCCAAGTAAACTATTTTGAGATCGTAATTCATCTCCTATTTTTATTGAAAGACTACGAAGTCCATCAACCTTCTCTTTGAGTTCAAGATTAAGACGGTCGTGATCATCAAGGACAGGTTTTGGCCAGTGTTCGTAAGTGCCATTAGCTAGGTTTGCAGATGCATCGATCCTGCCGTGTTTCGGTTGAGAATGAACATATTTAACACGAGAACTCATGAAACTATTGGGTTTCGAATACATTCGCTATGCGCACTTCAAATCCATTTAGTGCATTGAATAAAATAGATGTTAATAGACCTATAGAATCGAATTAGACAGGTTTGATGTTTTGTTACCGAACTAGTAATAAATATTTATCAACAATGTGAAAACAGAATCAAATAAGTGAAAGGAAAGGTTACTTGATAAGAACCTCTTAAAATACTATACAGACTATCCCAAGCAGTGACCGTGGACTCTTGATAATATGGCTCAGAATCTTCTGAAGTGGCATTAATGCTTACTTTTGGCCTTCGCTTACATTTCAGGTTTCAAAACTATCTTTTAAATATTTATGTACTGACAATTTGTTTTTTCTAGGACCATATTTCTGATGCATAATCTTTCCTGTCACTAATTTTGCTACCTATACTTTCCTGCGATTCACCCCGGCAATTTTCCTTGCTGTAATAAAGAGGCTTAGCCACCTGAACCAGTGTACATACGCGTTAAGTTTTACATTCAATGACTAACAGACTTGAACGTGCGGTTTCAACACATTTTAACATCCTATCTAATGTCTTTTGAGTAAAATATGCCCAATTTACGCAACCGTTCGTTATAATCTTGACAAGCATTAGTATAACGTAGTGTCTCCTTTATACGATTAACAAATATTAACAACTTGATGGGAATGTATTTATTACGAACAACATATTAGATGCATACTTTTTGAGACTTACGTTCAGGGAGATAATGTAGGCCCTGAACAGTCTAAGTAAATAACATAGCATATAATAATCAGTGAGTAATCGGATCTAACTTAAGGTTAACAGATTATGAAGCGGGATGGATCTAACCCTAGTTACATCATCGAATATATAACACCTAAATAGTGCGAATACTATTAACCCGGCATAGATCAACAGTGAACTTGAAAATCTCTGAATTAGTATTTCTTGAGATGGCTGAAGTCTGTAAAACATCCATAATTAACAGTGTTCAACAAATATTCTCACATGAAGACACTGAAAAGTTCAAGATAATTACGGAGTAAATTTCACTGAATCAACATTTAAGACAACAATTTTATGATTAGATCTAACAGAACTAGTCAAAAGTAAGATGAACATATACGGGATCTTACGCGTCAGTCGTAACGCAATACTTAAATATCACTCCTAGGTCTTCCAATATCCAATATCTTTTTAACGAGCTAGTGTAAACCAGTTGATTTCTTTGTGCTCGATTCTTGTTCTTTCGGTACGGTTCCAGGTGTTCGGTAATGTCCAATGGATGGGGGTCTATCCAGTCGACTGTTTAATTCTGGGCAGTTGGTTGTGAGTTTGTATGTCTCGGGATTTGAATGAACACGTTTGTTTCAGGGCAGTAGGGTTTCTGGATACAAGCAGCCGTCACATTACCAAACCGGAGATCAGTTAGTTGCAATGTGGAGAGTAATAAGGGTAATAAGGATAAATTAAAATGATATTATGAATAAAATTTCAGAACTGAGTAATATATAGGTGAATTTAGTTAGTTAATTGGTAGTGAAGATTGTGAGAGAGGACCGAAGTGTAAGCAAGGGAGAGGAATAGGCAAGATAGATTAACTGAGTGATCTCAGAAGATGGCAATGGTAACAACTAGCAGGTCTCAAGATATGCATCAGGCACAGCTTGTCCAAGAGGGAGATGATGGTGATGCATCGATAAGATGCTCACATTCGGATGATTTGGCGTGTTTAATATGGTGTGCGCCACAATCAGGTCACCTCTGATTCTCCTATAGCTCAGTGGGAATAATCCCAAGAGCTGGAGTCTATCGTTGTACGGTTTATTTTTCAACCCTATCACCCATTTGGTTGCTCGTCTCTGCACTCGATCCAGGAGATTAATGTCTCTTTTAAGCAGAGCGGATGCGACGACGTTATGAACTTCAAGGCGTGGGCGAGCATATGTCTTAAGACAACGTTGAGAATAATATAGGAGTGATAGCACAAAGTTGTCTTCGCGCAAATTGAACAGTTGTGTTAGCATTGGCCACGTCCTCTATGTATTTTTGACTGCTGTCTCTGCTTTCAGTGTACAGAATGGTCATGACGTGAATCCATGACCAGTAGGGTTTTAATCCGTTCTCTACTACCCTTTCGTAAATTGATGTATGGTATTTTTAAAGTTCAGTTGAATCTTCGTTGCACCATATGGACTCTCAGAATTCTGCATCGTTTGCATAGATTTGTGATGCTGTAATGTTTTTATCTAACAAGTCACCAATGAATATGAGTAAGAGGAGTGAACTTAATATGATTCCTTATGAATCTCCTGAATTTGGGACGAAGATTTCTGTTTTGAAAGCATTTGTGAGCCAAGATAGAAGTAGGTCAGTGGAGCCTATTCCCGTAGACTTCGCGATTATGAGTGCATGGTGTTCTATGTCTAAAGATTTTGCAAGGTCGAAAAATATTATGAACGGGTACTTTTCGGTCTCGGCAGGTTTCCCAGCTGTTTCACGCGATAAGTTAATGAAGCTGGAAGACTTTTTGTCTGCATGATAAAAGTTGCGGGTTCGTTATGAACACCTGTCATCTTCGAAAATTAATTGGTTTTCACAATTCCCAACGTCTGTTTACCCTGCTATAGAGCATTCAGTTCCCTAGCTTATTTAGAAGAAGGAAAAGAAAATCGAAAACTCTCCACACTACCTTCACTGTGACGAGCGCATAAGATTAACAGTCAAGGAATATCATGTGGGTCAGGATCTTCAGACTATGTTGGATTGTCCATGTGTTTCCTTCACACGGACAAGGTTATCTACGATTCGCTATACTGCTGTGTTTGGCTGCTGCTGTTTCGTTATCCCTGACTTGATTGTTCCTATTTAAACTGACCACCGACTTGACTAACACAAACACCTCTTTTACTTTTTAGAAGGTACATAGATTACATCCTTTACGGGTCCATTCAAGGATTGTCTAATGTTAGCGAACATCTCTGCCACCTGTATAGTCCAACAGTGGTTAGAACCATTCTCTGCTTAACCACTGAATAATTCGACTTTGGATATTACATGGGCTTTCCGAATATCTCCGAACTCTGGAGGGTTCGAAGGATGAACGTTTGGTAGAGTTATCTCTACACTGAATGCCACAATCCAAGTAACTGCTTGAAAAATCGGATAATTTTGCAGGTAACCGAAATGTATCAAACATTTTTCTTTTCAATAATTGTAGGAAAAACCCCCATCAGAATATTTTTATTTTTGTGTGTTTGAGGCTGAGAAAATGTAACGATCTTCAAAGTCAAAGTCAAACCAGAAGTTTACCGTCATCTGAAAATTCAAATCTTGAGGATAACAAATTGATCGGAATTTAGTTAAAATGGCCATTTTACAATCACATTTTGCATGTGGGGATACTGTTTACCTCGCTACCAATGATTATAAAACTCCTGATTCTGGATCAGATGAAATGTCTTATTCTCATAATCCCAAATGATTTTTATCTGAATTTCTGGATGTCACTTTTCCTATCAACTAGCGATCGATCAAATATTTTGCCTCATTTCATGGTTTTATTATTTAAAAAGTCCGTATGATTTCCATTTTTCTAACCAAGAACTTGGAATCGTCCAGTTTCACTATCCTAATATGTATGTTTTTTCTATATATAATTACAGTTACTTCTGTTGTTATTGTGTGGAAAATTGGAATTAAAAAATGCAATGCACTCAGGTGTGATTACAGTCTTCCCCTTAACTTGAGTGCTTTGCCATTCGTGATTACTAGATTACTTGCTTGAATAACCGCATACATTTACTACAGCCTAAGTATTTAGGACTGCCTGACATTCGAAAAGCTTCTGAAACAGCAGAGATATCTGCTAGAAAGGAAAACCAAAAGGTTAGGGATAAGAGGTGGATCTCAGTAGCATTTACTCAGAAACTCATCCTCTATGGTACTGAGTACAATAAGGAGCGGAGTCAGCTGCGGTGCTGACTGATAAAATGCATATGCAAAGATCGCAAAACAGTTGTGGGTAGAGAAAGCGAGAGAGATGGAAAAGGAAGCGGCGTTAGGCAACAGTAGATAACTGTTCCGACTTATGACGGAAAAAGGTGTTAAGAATTCAAGAGTGAGTGAAATTATATTGGAAAAGGATTGGCTTATAATTCGTTTTTAATCCAGGGGACCAGATCGATGGGCAGAACACATTCGCGACCAGTTCAAATGGCCTTCAGCAACACATCCATTAACTACGATCTCTAGTCATCCTGAATGCCCAATCGATGTTAAGTCCTCCAACTCCTAATGAAGTTGATAAAGCCGTAGGAAATCTAAAGGCTAGGGAGAGCAGCGGCCATTGATAAACAGACTCTAGAGATTTTTAAGCATGTTGGTCCAGTTTTAGCAGCTAGGTTGACTGAGATGTTAGGTAGAATCTGGGAACTGTACGTAATTCCATCCGAGTACTCTCAATCACTGATTGTCCCAATATATAAGAAAGGACAAAAGTCTTCTTGTGACAATCACAGGGGAATAAGTCTAACTAATATAGTTTCTAAATTGTTAGCCTCTATTATAGTGAGACGTCTAACTAGAGCTCGTGAAGAGCAGACTCGAGAAAACCAGTCTGGTTTTCGACCTGGACGTGGTTGTATAGACCACATCTTCACACTACGACAGGTCCTGGAACACAGACACGCATTTAGGCGTCCTACAATAGTTGTCTTCCTGGAACTAAAGGCGGCATTTGACTCAGTGGATCGTCAGGTTCTGTGGCAGTGTCTGTCATTGAGAGGTGTACCAAAGAAGTACACTAACCTTATACAAGCCCTTTACTCGAACACCACTGGTCGAGTGAGAGCTTATGGAGAACTGTCATCTAGACTCTCTACATCAAGTGGTAGCCGTCAGGGACGCCCACTCTCCCCATTCTTCTTTGACTTTGTCAAAGACATCCTCTCAGAGTTAACATTAAGCTCGTCAGATTTTTCAGGGGTTGACCTTCTACCAGGAAAGTCGCTTACTGATCTAGAATATGCCGATGACATAGTTCTATTCGGTGAAGACGCTGACA